ATAACAATTCATCAAATTTTCACTAATTTCTTTTATTAAATACAATAATATTAATTTATTACTAAAATTAATTTTTAATTAATAAATATAAAAATTATCTTAAATATATATTAATTTATTACAAATATATACATTTAATTTTCATATTAATTAAAATTTTTTGAGATAAACATAATAGAATAATTCATTAAATCTTCATTACTTTCTTTTATTTTTGAATCTATATATAACCTTTTTTATCAACATTTGAATCAACAACTATTATTATTATATATATACTTTTTTACCACAATTTGTCTTCTTTCTCAAGATGCACATATTCAAATGTTTTAAGTCAAAATATAAAAGATATAACTCATTAATATTATTCTTTGGACACATTTTCATTACCTATACTCCATTAATTTTATTCTTTTGGTTTTTTTTTTATTATCTATATACTCTTTCATTAATTTTTTTTAGGAAAAAAAGAAAATCAAAACGACTTGACATTAAAAAAATTAAGATGTTCAATTACAATCATTAAATGTGTGAAGTATTATGTGGGTTCTAATTTTATCAAATATATCATGTGACTATTATTATGTGTCTTAATATTTTTAATGTCAAGTTGTCCTGAATTTCCCTTTTATCTTTTTCTTATAATACCCTCTTAATTTACTCTCACATATATATTATTATTAGATTTATCTACCTACCTATTTGCCCTCACTCTTTCTATCTATATTAATAATTTGTTTATTATTATTTTTGGACACTAATTGATACATTAAAGAATTATTATCTTTTGGTATAAAATTAAAGGCAAACAAAAATCTGTCTATGCATTTAAATTGTAAAAATTGGTTGAATAAACTATATTTATATTATATTTTAATAATTAAACTAAAATAAATTTTAAAAAGTATGTTAAATCAAGTATGTGAAATTATTTTCTATTATTCTTTCTCCTCTGACACTCTTAACATATTATTCTTTTTTAGTCACTTCTTACAGATTTATGGATCATTTTACTTTTTTTTTTTTATTTCAATTCTCTCTCACACTTTATTTATATTAGACATGCCCTAAGTTAAAGTATAAAAGAAATAATTTTTTAATATTATTTCATTAGTACTTTTTGCTTAGGTGCCATTACTTCATCTTTCATTCATTTTTCTTATGACATCATATTTTAACTTACCCCTATTATATTTTCTTACTATATTTATCATTTTAAATTATATCAGTATTCACTTTTTTTTTCTATGTTAATAATTTGTTTGTTGTTATTTTTTCTTTCTTTGTCCTCCACTCGATATTCTTCCTTAATCACCCCTTTCATTTTCATCAATTACTATATATCTTTTTACCTAATATTAATTAAGATTAATTAAGATAATTAATGACCTTTAATTAACTTCAATTAATCCAAAATATTTACCTTAAATTGGAGTTTTAAGTAATTAAGTTAAATCGAAAGTCAATGGTCAACGTTCCATCCTCTTAGCTTCTTCCTTGGTTTCCTTTTTTTTAAGATCATGCAATTAACTCCTCAATTTCTAATTTGTTTAAGCACCCCCGAAACGTTTTAAATCTGTACAGTTTAGTCCCCCTGTTTTTGCTCGTTGCAATTTGGCGTGAGCATTGTCAATTCATTTCAGTTGAACCCAAAACTTTCAATTCTCATCTTCATGCCCATTCATGTGTGACTTGCTTCACTTAAGGCCATTAACTTAAAGTGATATTCATAAAGAGGTCGGGGAGGCTAGGTGAGGAGTGGTTGGGATAGAGGGAAGGTAATCGGATGGCTGGGATTCTGTGTCTCCCTCGTCCGATTTTGCCTATAAAAGGCAGATGGATTTCAGAAGAAACGAAAAGAGGAAGGCGAAGAATCTAGGAGATCATTGTGAGTTTGGGTTGGAGGAATCAAGAGCAATAGAAAGTCCGATCTTTGTCATCGGAATCCGAAGGTTACTGCAGACATAGGTATCACTTTGTTTTGATTTATTTTCTGTATATTATACCTTGATATTAAATGGGAATTTGAGTTTGCTTTTGAATTAGTTGTGAATTTATTCTGAGTTTCATTAGATGTTTACTGTGCATTGGGAATTTCTTGATTTTGACATGAATTTGTGAAATTATCGTGTAAAAGGGTTCCGTTGAGCTTGGTTCAGGCTTAGGATCTGTTTTCCTATCTTTAGAAAAATTTCTGGAATTTTTCTTGAAATTTTTTAAGTTATCGGAAACCGGAGTTGGGCCGGAATTCAGCCGGAGCACCTTTGCAAACTTACCAACCCAACTACTATGCTGATATCTCAGTTTAAAATTACTTCATGGTTAGATGATTCTGTCAATAAGCTTCTTGTTATCTCTCTAATGATTCTATGGCATGTTTGTGAAGTAAAAGCGCATGATTTAACTAGCTTAGTCATGTCTACACCTTCTGCTGGAATTGGTTCTGCAAAAATCTGCCTAGTACGCTCATTTGACTATTACCCATGGATTTATTTAATGGGCTACACTAAAAAGAGCAAAGCAAAAATAAGAATGTTTTGATACTGACTATCATGTAAAATTGTTCAAATACTTTTTAATGAAAAATTTTAGTGTGATAATTTATCAATAATATTTTAATCTTTTTATTGTCAGTCCTTAAAATTTGGGTTATTAATTAATTAGTCTATAACACATTCACATATTGGTCTTTGGATCATGAAATCAATTACTGGTCTATAACATCTACTTATTGATGGAGCATAAGTTGGGCTGTAACGCTTATGGTTTGAGCGAAAGAAATTCTTCAAAGCTTTAAAACAAAAGCCAACAAGAAATGAGCCAAAGAGTTGGTCACTTACCAGATCTGAACGGCCTAGCTGCTGAAGGATAGCAAACACAAGACAAGAGAACTCTGAAAGGCAAAAATAGATATATTGTGTTTGTTAGAATTCCTAAAATCATAGAGATCAACGCCAAGAAATGAAAAAAAAAAAAGACTCACTCACAAGAAATGAGCAAAAACTTGATCACTTACCAGATCTGAACTGCCTAGCTGTTTAGAAAAATAACAAATACAAGACGAGAGAACTCTGAAAGACAAAAACAGATATATTGTGTTTGTGAGAATTACTAAAATCATACATACCAACGCCAAGAATTGAACAAAAAGACTCACTTACCAGATCTGAAATGCTTAGAAGCCACACAGAAGGACAACAAAACACGAGAATTCTTCGCGGAGAGAAAAAGAGATTGCATTTGTGAGAAGACTGAACTGAGATAAACAGATATATGATGGTAGTGTGAATGTTTGACTGCACCGCCTTCTTTTTTTCTTGTTTCCTTTTGCCTCTACTTTCTCGGAAACCAATACTAGCCTTTTCTTGTAGGTAGGGGTGGGCAAAAACCGATTTCGGTTAAAATCGAAATCGATTTTGAATTAACCAAAAAAATTTGGTTTTAATTTTTTGAACCGAAACCAAACCGAAATTGTTATAAGTTAATCGGTTTGGTTACTGATTTTTATCAATGAAATTGGTTCGGTTTCGGTTTTTATTAAATAAATATTAATTAATTATTTTTTTAATAATAAATTATATTTTATCACATATTTTATCATATTTTGTTATATTTTGTTATATTTTATCATACTTTAATATATTTTATCTATTTTATCATAATTTTGGTTTTATTTTTGGTTTTTGGTTTTTAAGAAACTCAATCGAAACCGAACCAAAATAAATTCGATTAATACTAAAACCAAAAAAATAAAACCAAAAACTATTAAAACCGAACCAAATTCATTTTTTTGGTTTGATTTTCGAGTAAACAATCGATTCGGTTAAAAAATGCCCAGCCCTACTTGTAGGAGCATGGCATGCGACGTGAATGTTTCCGCGATATTTCCCTTTTGCTTAAATAATCTTACATTTTCTTTTTTTCCGATCAATTCGTAGTCTGTTCCACTTCTTTTTTAATTTTTTATTTTTATGAATACGTCTAGATTAGAGTTAAGGTTGTGAGAACTGAGAACGTTACAATGTCATTTTCAAAGAGAAAAATGAGTATTATTAATTTTAACTCTTGTGCCGTGTGTGTTATTAATTTTAATTGATTAATTATTAAATTTTAGTGTTTGTCTGCCTTACTTGTAAAAAATTAAAAGAAAAAAAGATAAAAATCACTTTAATGCTTATTTTAAAAATAAGGTAATTTAATCTTTTTCAATAAAAATTTATTGAAAAGACGTAGTTTTAGGATGATTTTTTTTTTTTAATTTTTAAGAGATAAAGATGATAGATACTTTTTCTTAATTATTAAACTTAAAATCAATCTTTATATATATTTAATGATTAAAAAATAAAATAATTACACCCCTAATATATACTTAAGATATAAGTTAGTAGAACTTTAAAATATAACTGTAACAGTAAAAGAGAGATGCAAATGGAGCTGCCACTGCCTTCTATCGGAATCATACTGTCCTATCTTTTACATGTTTTTGGACCACTTCCTGCATTACATGGATGTTGCTATGCTATTTCCTTTCACCTTTTTCTTTTTCTTTCTGAAAGAGAGACTTTCCTTTCCTTTCCTTTCCTTTCCTTTTTCTTTTGGAAGGCTTTTCTTTTCTAATTATAATTACTAAGTTTGGAAGAAATATCAACGGTGGTGGCATTCCCATAATATCTTTTTATCCTTTTAACTACAATTTCTTAGCTAGTGATGGTTTCCTCAGTGGAATCTCTTAATTTTGAAAAAGAAGAAGAAGAAGAAGAAAGTTATCAGCATCTGTCTATCCCTCTGATCGCATTAAAATGGACTTATGGTCACTAAGTTTGAAGATGTAAGAAGAACACATTCAACGTGATGATTAATTAAATTAGAACCAATAATGGAATATATGCTCTTTGGCAATGCTATAATATAAATTTATACAATACTCATCTAATATCAGAGGCGGGCTGATTAAATTAAGTTTACACAATATTTAAATATTGCTTGTTATCCTTAGAGAGAGAAGTATTAATTAGATTACATTTACATGTAATATGATTTAAATTTAAAATTTTATGTAACAAATAAATTATTATTAAATTGTTTATGTAAGTCATTTGGTTATGTCATCTTAAACTTTTATAGTACTTGCTTTAAAATTTAATACAATCAATTGTTCCTATATTTTTTGCATTAAATTAAAATTTGTATTAAAATTTTAAAGTCACGGGCACTACATAATTATCAACTCACAATTACCTATTATTCTTGATCCTAGTATTAATAACTGATCAGGACAGAGTACCCCACTTTTTTTCCTTTTTTTTTTTTCTCAATTAAAGTGATTCACTTTCTCTTTTCATTATCTTAGAAAGACGCCTTCTGAGAAATGATTAAGAAAATAGCGTACAACAATAATGGTGAAGGAGAGACAACAAAATAGATCTGCCATCTGGTTTGAACAAAGGAACACCAGAAACAAAAGGCTAACTCAAGTTCGTCTTGAAATTAATTTCCTCTTCAAACAATTCCGAACAAAATCTTCCAAAATCCCGCATATAAACAAAAAGAAGTGAAATAAAAATTTCTTTGGAATGAAAATCTGAAGGTTTCGAACCCAAAACTTTGTGGTCATTTGTACCAAGATTTTGGAAAAAGGGAAACAAATAGCCGTTGGCTAGAAATCTAACCGTTGCTGCTGAAATGGCCGTTGATCCAACGGCTAGAAGAGTCAACGGCATGTTTCTTGAAATTGGTAACTATTAGAAATTTTAGGTTTCTTTGCTTTTATCGCCCAGTCTCAAATAATAATTTATTACTGTTGGATGATGAACGGGAAGCATCCCAGGTAAAATTATTAAAATACTGCGTTTTCTTTAATATATATTTGAGAAAAGTTGCAAAATAAGCATATAAATTGTCTTTTTTAATTTTTAATTTTAAATTTTATTGATTTTTGAATAATATGATTAATTTTTATTTTTTATATTAAAAATACTGATTTTATTTTATTGTTTCTATTTAATCATCGTGTTGAGTGGAGAGTGGGTTACCAATTACCATGGTTGGGCCCCAAATTTCCGCGTGCTTATAGTGTTGCACATGGTTTTTCCAACGCATTGATGTGGAGTGGGTGTTGACGATGTCACGCTCGTGAAAAGGAATACCACTACGTGATTAAAAAAATACTAACATAATTGAAAGTTGAAACCTTTTATGTGTGGCTTCACGTATTTGAATTTTTGTTGGTTCCTTGTGACTTGTGTTCCCAATGCATTGATGTGGAGCCGTGCAACTAACATTCCAAAAATACTTTTATGATGATATTTATTGGTAGAATTCTTAAGTAAATTAGATATTGTTTATAATAAAAAAAAATAAATTAGATATTACTAGTAGCAGCTCCTGCAATATAAATTAAGTAAATTAGATCTAATTTATATTGCAGACAGACGCTCCTAATAGTAATATCTAAAATGTACAAAAACATATAAAGTATATACTAAAACAATAATTTAATGGAATAAACGAAACATTATGTAACTTGACCTTTGATACCGAAACAGTCATTTCTATTGAAATAGGAGTCTTAAACTTCAGGATCATCCATTTCAATGAAAGACAAAATGGACAACTGCTTTCAGAGAACTTTAATCTGCGTGACAAAGTTAAGGAGGAAGTGTGACTTCGAACTTTGACATACAACCAGAGGTTAACCAACTTCTACGACAAACGGGTTTGCCCTCGAACATTTAGAGTTGGCGACCTTATTCTAAAAAAGGCTGGTCTCACGGGATTTGAAACTTATTTTGGCAAACTAGCCCCAAATTAAAAAGGTCCTTATACAATGGTTGAGATGTCGCACCCAGGTGTCTATATTCTTCAAGACGTTGAAGGGAAAAGGATTTCTAGAGTCTGGAATGTGAACAATTTAAAAAAGTTTTATTCTTAATTCAATTCCTTTAGTGAATTTTGTCCTATTTTACTCTACAATTGTTAATTCTTTTGTCCGAGCTCAACTTGTTATTCATTTCATTTCTTGGACTTACATTTTATCAATAAATTTCACCTCACATTTGAGGTGATTTCTTTCATTTCAATTCTTACTCGAAGCAACCACAACAAAAAAGATGCACAGAACAAATCATAAACATATAAATAAACTTGTGTCAAAATTACAAAAATGTTTTAAACGTATTATTCAAATATCCACAAAAACAAAGTAATCATAAAAACAAAGGATAGCTGCTATGCCGGTAGAGGTGGTTAGTTCACTTCCGATGGAGATGGCTGGTTCACTTCATCTTTTGACTCATTCTCTCCAACTTCTGCCTCCTCTTCCTCCACTGCGATGAACTCAAAATCAAAGTTCAAAGAAAAGATGGTACGACCTTCATTGTCATGGTCCCATTTCAGCTTTACCTTAGGACGAAAGTCAACTGTCTTGCTCTCACCGTTCCCCTCCACCCCTCCCTCTTGCTCACCAAAGGTGATACCAGTCACATTCACTTTGGGATATTGAGCTCTCACTTTCTTTTTGCAGTCTATGAAACCAACTAAAACTTTTTTTATTATAATTCTTAAAGGTATATTAGATTATTACTGACTTAAACATCAAAATGTCTACTCCGAAAATCTACCTCAAAGCTTTGTAAGTCAACCTAAAAAAAAGACTTGAATTGAAGGAGATTTACTAGTTCGTTGCAATTTCACTTTCCATTTAGAAGTTGTGTGTGCGGTACAAGAAACCGAGCCGGGGAATCATCAATATTGTTCTGCATCAGTTCTGCATCAGATCTGGATGTCAAATAATGAAGGTTCCAAGATTTATCGTTCCCTCTCGTGTCAAGAAGTGGTTAAGGTCGCAAAACAAATTATTGGACCACACAAAAGTGCTTTTTTTTTTTTTTTTTATAAACAATCAGTTATAGTATTTAAAATATCAATGTCATATTAATTCAATTTTAATTTTTGTTCAATTTAAATATATATTATTAAAAATTATTATATAAAATCTTCTCTTAATATCAATTATGTTATCTATATTGGC